TAAACATGGCCTCTCTGCTAGTAGTTGGCACCAAGGAGAAATAAAGACCAAATACTAATAATAAATTAAATATAGTAAGTCAAAATATATATATATATATATATATATATATATATATATATATATTTCATCTAGAAATACATTTATATACATATTTGTAAGTACAAATCCATTTGGATATACATATCAGACACATGTTGAAATATTCTTGGCAACTGATTCAGAAAAAAATTCTGTTTGGTATTTGGGTGGAGATGTTCACCGACCTATCATGATCAAGATCACACAATCACTAGTCCCTTATGGAATTAGTAAATACTAATCTCTTCAGATACCACAGCATATGAATCAGTTATAACAAATTAAATATAGGAGAAAAAGAAATTGAAAATAGAATAGGCTATGTCAAAGGTACTTTTGCCCAATACCATAATTTGCTACAAAATCAAATCATCAACCCGAAAACTCAAGTCGTATTCTTAAATAGTCAGACTTCATATGAATGCTATGCATAGTACCATATTTGTTCAGAAATATCTAAAAACACTTCCTAAGTTCAATGGCAAAAAAAGGCTTTGAGCAATTAAAGTCTGAGGTTTTGGCAAAGCTCATTTTTCTTTGAACATTGTGAACTGGTCCTGCAAAATCAGAAACAAAGAACTTTACCAAATAACAGAAACCACATCACTTGAGAACTTTCAACAGCACCAACAGCTAAAATGAACAGCACATGTAACTCAAATAGATAATAATAATAACAGAATCAAGATGTTAACATTTAAACAAAAGGTTAGGAAGGAAACCCCCATCAATACTGGAAAGAGGGATAATGGCTACTGGACTTGAGAAATCTATTTTTCTAAAAAATTATTTTAAGAGAAAGATTTTATAAATTTCAACTAAAAGCAGTACCAGCTGCTCAGCTAATGAATGCTGAATGTTTCATTGTAGGAAATGGCTGATATTACCATTACCATTAACCTATTAAGGCTGTAGAGTCACCACATGTACTGTAACCATAGCAGCAGTGGTGTGTCTAGGGAAATCTTCTAGCTGGTTTGAATTCAGAGTTTTTCTTTTAGACCAATATTTTTCAGTCAGTGTACTGTGATTGGTGTGCCATGAGAGGATCATAGATGTGCCACAAAAACTTTTAATGGTCATTAATTAAAAATATAGAAGTAAAAAGAAGTAAACATATTTTCAATTCAGTTGGATGAATGTACTGATATTAGTCATAAACCCCAACTTTCAGTATTCAGTAGATTTGTTTGTAAAAAAGAAATCATAGAAGAGTTTATTTTTTTGTCCATTCCAAACAACAATAAAGGGCCAAGATATTTTCAGTTTGATCAATAATTACTTCAATTGTAAGAACTAGTCTTAGGATTCCTGCATAAGTATTTTTACTGATGGCACACCATCTATGTCTGGAAGTGTAGAAGATATTCTAAAAAAATGTGACACTCAGATATTTCGTTAAATGTGAAATTATAACAAACAGAAAAATAAATATGTATTTTTAAGCATTTTACTTATTACCTTTTTTATTACAAATTTTAATAAATTGTTTTGTTGTGTTAATAAATAAATCATAAAATATATACTCTTTTTTTATCATCATAGTCTAAGTGTGCTGTGGAAGTTTAAGTATAGGTTCAAATGTTGCTGTGAGTTAAAAAGGTTGAAAAATATTGTCTTAGACTAGTTGCCAGCCAAAGCTATGGGGGCCTTGTCTGCCCTGCTATTTTACCTATAGCCACTGGGAGCAGATATGGATTTATACCTTTCCCGATGTTATTTGTGAATGTAATGAACTCAACTGGAAATCGAACACAGTTCTCTGATAACTCATTCTGAGTTGCTATCCATTACATTACCCACCCATCTACAACTTAATGTGTGTTTAATGTCATTGAAAATAAACTGGAATGGCTATTTAGAAATATTTTTATTCCTATTTTTGAAAGAACGCTGTAAAATTCTTCATCCTCTGTTTCAGCAACTGTTTAAGAAGCTTAAAAAGAAAAATCTTTATACATTTGAAAAATGACTGTTGATGCTTTAAATTTTTTTTTTCAAAAAGAATCATTTTCAATACGATACATGATAAAAAAATGATTCATAAATACAGTTAGAAGAAATAAAAGAAAAAGAAATTGTGAAGAAAATAATAAAAAAAAAAAGAAGGAATATCTTCAAGAGGAGGAAAAAGTGCTTCATCAGGAAAAGATCATTGTACTGTTCTCATGAATAAGCGATCGAACAAGATTGGCAAGAATTTGCAATCAGATCTGCATGCACATATGGGTTTCAAAGTTCAAAGACTGGTGTTAAGAGTGGAATTTGTATAACAGAAATAGTCAAGTACATAGCAGACTATCGGGGAATCAATCTTAATGGTGAAACTCATGTTGATGCCATTCTTATTCAAATTTAATGCAGGGAAAAAGAAGAATAGGCGGAAATATAAGAGGTGAGAAAAGCAAAGAAAGACAGTGAATGTGTAAAAAGAAATGTTTGGATATGTTATTACTACTACAAGTAATGAGAATAGTACTTATAAGGAAGCAATTGTTTAAAATAACAAAAAAAAATGTTTGAAAAGTAATAATCAAAAGAAGGTAGCATCAAGGTTAGCACGAGTGTTAAAATGCTTATGTTGTAAGATATTAGCAAATGTTGTAAGTTCAATTCTACTTAGGTGTAATATTGCTGTAGCCTTGTGCCAGATTAAGGTAAGACTGCTAAACTCCAATCAGAATAAGGTAGAGATAAATAAAACTTGGATGTCTAGTTGTAATTACTTTTTTGTTGAAATAGTATAGCTCTACTAGGGTGGCTAGCCAATCTCTATTGCATACACTTGTTCAGGCGCATTTGTGTTTATTCAACACCCACAGAGCCCACCTGTGGTTTATACTGCAACTATTCTGAGCAGACTTT